CCTATAGGCCTCTTATCTTTGACAAAGCTAGCTCTAATTGTAAGCTAGCATTGAGTACTTCTAATTTCAGAGCTGCTGTGATCCACTTTACATTTACAAGTGCTCTATGTATGAGAGGTACAGTCCAACCACGCAGTCACTGGGAAAGAGAATAATTATACTTGCATCCTCATGAAGTTCCCCACCATCAAAAGTACATACGAGGACAGGCTGCCTCATAGTTTGGTAAAAAAAAACTGTTATAAGAGAAAACACTTAGATATTTTTTTTATTGGAACATATGTACACTGCTTCTCCTAATAGCTCTTAAGAGCATAACCAGTGAAAAGACACAGATGATGCAGAAGCTACTGTGCATATGAGAAGTGTACAATAGTTGCTAACTTGGCTAGATGATTTTGAGCCACCCATAAAAAGGTTTATGAATTCAACATTAGTTTTTGAAGCCAGTAAACAATTAGGTAACTTTGTATTGTTTTCAAGCAGCTTCCAAGTGCATACTGTAACTATCATTAAAAAAAGATTTTGTTACAATCCTAGAAATCCAAACAGGATTTTCACAAATTTTCCCCCCCCCAAAGTGAAACCACAAAAAACAATTAGCTGTACATTGCAGTTGGAAGAGCTATGGGACATGAGCTTGAGCTATTATTCAATACTTTTAAATTTGCCACCACAGCACAAGTGTATCTTTTGTAGGTGATGAGTAAAGACAATATTCTGTGTTTTGCAGAAGATTGACCTCTGGTAAAACATCTATTTACTTACAAAATATAAACGCTACATTGCCCCTGGATAAAGAAAAAAAAATCTGTATAGTATCTCCTTAATTTCTTAACAAATTATTGTGCAAGAGGGGAATGTACAGTATGTTGTGCAAACTTGCTTCTGTGCTGAAATCATACATCACCTTCAAAATAGCAGTTAGAAATGATCATCCTTGAGTTGAAACATTTTCTCTGATGCTTGCATTTGATGCAGATTGCCTAAGGGCTTGCTTCCAGATTTTCAGACAGCAAAGTGAGTGTATCCCTTCAAATTTAATATAATATGAATGACCACTAGCAAGATCATAATTGCAACAAGTGTGCTGAAAGCAAAATACAGGTCATGTTTCTAAAACATAAAAGTTCAAACTGTCACCCCTCATTTCACTACAGACACATCTTTAAAACTTAACATACAGCCAACAAGCTCCGTAAAACAATTTAGTTCAATCGTGTTGGAGATTTATTACCTTTTACAAAAGAGACACATTCAAGAATGTTAGAATATAAAAATGGCTCATTGTCTTCTAAATTTATACACAATATGCCAATAAAATTATTTCTTCTTTCTCCTCTGTTAAATTACTGTATATCCAAGTTTCCCTTGCTTGTGCTTTAGAGAACAGACTTTTCCACCTGAATGGACGTTTTTCATGTTGGTTCTTTGTATGAAAGAATGAGATAAATGTCATGATGAAGTGACATGTCGGTTTTGTATGTCATCACTGAATATTGGATTTGCCTTCACATTCAACCTACTATACCGGGTTAAATAAAAGCCGTGGATAAGTACAAGATCCTTTTGGTGCATTTAATTATAGCATGATTTTACCACTTGCATACTGGCAAGGTTAATAAAATAGGGAAGGGAAAGTAGATTAAATAATTGAAACGCGACTCCCACATCAGAGTGATTTGAAACACAAATGGCTCAACTGAAAGGTTTAATTCCATCCACACCTGGCTTTTTAGTAATCTCTGGAACAACATGGCAGGCTCGTCCCTCAAGGGTTTTAATTCAATTCCCGCTTTAAACTGTGGGGTTCATTCCATCCTTAAATCACCGACTTCATTTTAGCTTCCAACGTTAAAATGAGATGGTGGCGCATTAAAGACTCAGTGCTCCCTCTGGGCATCACAATACATTCGGTTACATTTTTTTTTTAATCAGGCTTTACATTTATGATATTGAGTAACTGAGACTGCAGATAGTCAATCTTCTTTCACTTCCCATAACCTTTTCTCATCTTATGTCCTGTGTTTTTGTTCTTTGCTTGTGGTTCACTTTATTGATCCTAACCATCTAGTTATGGGGTTAATGTCATCGGTAAATCCAGAGGGACTCTGGACTCATTGTGCGCCACAAACATTTGTTGAACTGGTGGTTTCTTACAGCAGGAATCTGCCCATCTGGATTGATAGTGACTTTAACAGAACACTTTAACAGAGGGGCACAGTAAAAAAAGCCTGAGTACAGTGCAGAAGAGAAACAGTAAAAATTGGAATTTTAGGAATTACTCTGAGTGTGCTGCTCTAGTTTCCAGTAACATTCCTTTCTAGACAGGAAAAGACACATGATTGCAGACTTGAATGAGGGGTGACATACTGTATGATTGCAGACTTGAATGAGGAGTACACAATCTGATTCTAACAAATGTTTCTATAGAATAAAAAAAGCTATTTAGAAAAACAAAATAAATTCTACCTACAGGCTATTCATCATGGTTATAAGTACACACAAGTCTAGTATATAAATTTCTTTGCACATAAAAGCATGGAAACCAGAAGGAAAAACGAACACAAAACATGGATTCACGTTTGTCTTTTAGCTCTGAAGTCTGAGTACAGCAACACTGTCAAATGTTTTAATTTCACTTCTGTTGTGCACAAAAGCCATAACAGTGGGAAACACAGTGGCAGGATTCAGCAGCGTGACAAAACCATCTGATACACACTGGCTGATGCACACAAGAGGGGGACATTAAATGCATCATTCAGAACATTTTGGAAGCTCACAAGCAAAGGCATGTTGTATTTTACACTGCAGTAGACCCTTTATCCAAATAGAGAAGGCAGACAAGTATTTACATGGGTTTTACTTGATCTTTCTATTCTTTCTGAACCACAAACAGTTAGCAGGACCACTTTCTGTGCCAGTGGAAACTGTTCTCTGGCAAACACTCTCACGATGCTGCACTTAAGTGACACATGAAGTGGGCCCCCTTCTATATACAAAATGCTTTTGGGATAATTGTAGATATAAAACAAACAATAGAAATATTAAGAATGTAATGTATCCATACAATTATGGTGGATCACATCTACATGATATACAGTAGGCACCAGTTTGCTTTGGGACAAGGATCTTCAAAAAATTCAAAAGCATTTAAACTGAAATGATAAGGAGGAGATTGTTAAGAAAATCAGCAAAAGTGAATACATGCCATATAAAATTGAAAAGTGAGCCTAAAAACAAAAAAACAAAAACATAATAAAGGACCAGGTTATTAAGTGGACAATCAGATCACCAGTACTCAGGATGTATATCCACATGTAGAAGAGGAAATATGAGATTTTGTTTTCCCCTCACAGCAAGAGCGAACAACCATCAGACATATCAGAAGCTGAAGCTGAGACATGGGGAAAGCACAGTCAATGCTAAGAAAAGGAGGAACATTTTAAAGTAAGAGTTGTGGGAATCTGTAAAAAGCTAACAAGCTCTTGTTAGTAACCTCTTCTGTCTTTATGTCCAGGTATCTGAACTCTTTTGACACACAAAACATGAAAACACAGAGGTTCACAAGAAATATTCCAAAAAATGTATTGCTCTGGGAAACACAAAGACCAGAACTGCCCCCCCCCCCATCACCACAAACATGATATTGGAGCCACAGGGTCCAAGCTAAAAAATATGCCAGTCAGAAAATGTATACCAGTTTCATTCTCTGAGGATATGTTGGTGACATCTTGCAGCTGCTCAATTGCCTATGTAGACTATTATTAGATTTCAATTTGGAGTCAGCAGAGAAATTCCACGACAAGTGTGTTTTTCAGTCTCAGTCTCACAACATCTCACCATTGACTGACATTAGTTTCTTACAATATTACGTTTTTTCTGAATGTTTCTATTGTGTTGCTTAAAGTATTAATGCCATCTTTCATTAAAGCTCCCTTAATTTGAAACTGGCATGACTCATCAGCTGGTTCTTATTTGCTGTGTACTGTACAATATTGTACCGTTAACTCCCTCTGTGCTAACTTTAGCAGGAGTCCTGTGTAATTTTTACTTTGAATTTGTACATAAACTGCAGATAACCACCTAAAAAATTAGAAGCAGAAATTCATACCAAACAAATAAGTCTTTTTTTAAAAAAGTAATGACGTTTTTATGTACAGAAGCAAAATACGTGAAAAAACTACGTCACCTAGAAAATTTGGTCCTTATAGACGGAACTACATAGTAAGGCAGTTGCTTCACATTTTCTAAATATAGCATTAATTTAGCATTAACTACAATTTGCAACGATTCTCGCGAATGATGTATATGCCAAGAACACCCTGTGCACACACACACACACCTGATTAACATATTATATAAGGGTTCAGAACATTTGAAAGAATATTCAGAACAATAGACATTCGTTGAAGGTGAAAATCGTGACTTCCCGCTTATGAAGAAAGCTCAAGGCTAAAAGGCAATTAAAAACGCCTCCGTGACTGTCTTTATAGAATTATCGTCAGAATTGACCTGAAAGTTGATTCTGATACAGTAACTTGTATCGCATTTGCATTATCAACACAAAGACGCTAACAACAGATAAATACAGTAGCTAAAGGCCATTTTCAAATACACCTTCATTATGACTGCTAGTTCTCGCTGAAAGCCCATTCAAGGCATATACAAACCAAGGTCAGAGCTGACAAAGGTTCGGCATGACCCATAATGCAATTGCTGTTTGAAATATGCGAATTCGTAAGTACATATGACAATTAACAAGCACTACATTTCATCTAAGTGAGAGAGAAAGATCAAAGCTGCTCCGATTACACATTAAGAGAAAAAGACTGGAACAGAAAACCATTCAGCCTTGTCCTTAAAGCAACTCTGCAATATACAGTAACGCCCTGCACTCAGCCGGCATTCACACACTTCAGCACCAGGAATCAGGACAGCTCCTTTCTCAAGTTCCGGAAGTTTTCACGGATAATGCTTGGGCGTAACCAATGTCTTACCTATCGTCGTTCTGAAAGGATTGGTCCCCCAGCAGTAAATCTCGAAATCTGTATCGGGGCGGGAGCGGCGGCACCTCCGAGTCCAACTCGGTCATTTTAAGATTGGAAATATCCAGAATAACTCCAGCGTTACTGCTGCTGTTCTTCTGCACAGTTTCAGGTGAGAGCCTGTGAACAGAACGACAGTCCTTCAGTGACCTCCGGCCGGAGAACACGGGCAAAGTTACCCTCCGGTCCCCGCAGGTTTCACGACTCGGGATCATTAAAAATACTTTTCTTTATAAGAACGAATGAAGCTTGCGGGGATACACAGCGAGTGATATGGTGAACGCAAGCAGCACGCTGCCCGTCGACCCCACAAAACATGAATGAAAAGCAACCATTTGAACTCGCAAGAGCACTTCAAGCTCTCCAGCGCTTGCCTTAACACCTGCACATCCTTTTCGTGTTATCTGCGCTATATTTATATAGCAGTTCCGCGTCCTGCGCCGGTTAGTTTCATTTAGGCGCCTATATTTGTCATTTAACACCTATGCAGAGATTACCCGTAGCCTAAAGTGGAGATGGTTATATTAATAATGGCAGCTACATAATTTGAAAAGCTAATTAGGACATAATCTTCTTGATGCTTGCCTCATGGAGCCGCTTGTTTTATTTCCTCAAGGTCCATACAAAGTCAAAACGAAGATTAAGAAAAATGCAATTTTGTTCATTTTAATTTAGCCTAGATTTATAGTCTCTCCCCATCGGGAGTATTCAAAGTAATCCGTTGGTGCCAAATAACCCGCCGTGTGATTTGGATAATATTACAAAGGAAAACGTTTGGCTAATTAATGTATGTGCTGTTCGAAAGCCCTGAAGAGAAACTATTGAAACTACTGAAAAACAAAGATACCAGCACGATAAAGTTTGTCAGTGTTTGTCCTCCTTGCTTTTACAATTCATTAAGCCCCCCCAAACATCTATTTCGTGAAAATCGCTCAAGATTAAATCAATTCAATATTCAGTCACGGTGCGAAATACATAGAAAAAGGAAGAGTAAGAAAGGCTTCTTTAATTGCTTTGGCTGTGTCTTTCCCAAAAGGATCTACACCTAATCTCGTCGCCTTAGTCCCATGAAATACTACTGTAATTATCTAGTTCTGTTATCACCCCTCAGACCACACTCTCCCCAAATAATGTGATCTGTTACATGAGATCGGGAACTTCATGCTGCACATTGGTGGTGGTGGAGGGGAGTCCCCATTACCTGTAAAGGGCTTTGAGTGGAGTGTCCAGAAAAGTGCTATATAAGTGTAAGCAATTATTATTATTATATTATTATACTGTACTTCATGATTCGCGTGTCTTCTGAGCACGGCGGGATGTTGCGCAAAAGATCATAAATATTTAAAATATTATTATTATTGGAGGTTGACTATCCAAATAATTGCACTCACAAATGTAGTTGTAATTATGTGAAATAAAGTATGTTCCATGCAAACAAACATTAATGTAATAATTCATGATAAATCCCAGGTAAGGTGTAAACTTGAATCATGGCACAATAATTTAATTGCAGGTAGTATCCTTGTTAATTAACACAACTGAGATGTTTAAATTTTGTTTGCCCATGATCCACTTTAACACCTGCATGAGATACGGTACATGCCTGTGCACTGCAATTGTGTGCATGCAGTAATCAGCATGCATTTTGTGAGAAGAAACCGAAACTCTGGAAGAGACAGAATCAGCAAAACTGTTGTTTTTTTTCATTTTTACTTGGCACCTTATCTATCAGGTGATCTGGTATCAGTCCTCTTAAAATAATGTACTGTAAGAAACTAAAAAATGTTGAGTATTAGTAAAAATTGCTTTGCTGTTTTGAAGATGGGTTTCTGCCCAATACACATTTCCCTTTCCTTTGCACTTATTCAGCAAAATACAAGCTGTATATAGCTTTATTCCTCTAATCAAAGGCAACATTTATAAGATAATCAATAATGTATAATGGAGCGTCACATTTTTAATAGATTAATGTTGCTTTTGAATCATCTAGCATGTCACATGTGACGCTCATTTTTGATAAACTCAAAGGAATTTAGACAAAGAAACAAAGATAAACACTTTGAATTATTTTCAAAAGCATTGTGCATTTCTTTAGCCCAAGTGTGACAGCGTGGAACTTTTCCACAGAGTTGTCTTCATACTTAATGCAGTACAGGATGAAAAACAGGCAGCTGTAGGGGGGAAAGGACATTTCCCTTTAACTAGGCTCTGTTTTGCAAGCTACTGTATGACTATAAGTTTCAGTGAATTAGCTCTCCCAGCATGAGAGGCTTACAGTATGTGCTGTTGAAGTCCCCAGCCTGTCTGTATGATTGGCATTCCACATGCTTGGGTGATTTACTACATCAAATATTACCTGTCGCCACTGGAACTCTGGGAATGAGATCGTGGTCTCATGATTGCTTCTTCAAAGGAGGTTTGAAATAAAGAAAAAATAAACAGTAATTAATAAAATGTCCTGAGTATTTAGTCACACATTCAACTACAACATGGACATTAATAGGTAGATCATGTCCAAAAAGCAAGAGTCATGTAAACTACGTTTATTGTGCATACACTATGACTTCAATAACTTTATAAACACAGTATCATTACACTTAGATTAATTCATGTGTGAAAATTAAGGACTCTGCAAAGCACAAACGTGATCTATTGTCAGGAAGAAGGTTGTTAAGAGTTCAGACATGAGATTAAATACTTTCTCTTGACCCACATACATAGTGGCATGTGTACCTGGACAGAACATGTAGAGCAGATGACTGCTCAGAAATATGAAAGATTTTATTCCTGATGGGAAAACAATGCCTTCTTGAAGAGTGGTTTTCAGAATTGGTGATTTGTAGGTGGAATGAAGATTTTAGTTGAATACTTGCCTGCGTAGGGCTTAAGTTTAACTCAGAAAGTAAATCTAAATACAAAAAAGAGAATGAAGAAACAAGGAAAGGAAAAAAAAACAAGCAGTCAAGAAGACACAAATGAGGCAGAGGAGTGATTATTATATTAATTTCTATTTCAAACGTGGGACATTATCAGAGTCTGAGATTAAATGGGTGATGCTGGTATTATGTAAAGACAGAGTTATTTAAAGAAGCACAACAATTTTTGTAATCACTAGCAGGCATGCATTAAAGAAGCTTGAGAGGTTCCATTAGCTAACATTCAGCTTTATCCTGGACAAAGGACTGAACAATATCAAAGGGAGGAGTTGTATACAAGGACTGGACACATTCATCGTGCAAAGCAAGAAAGTTAAATGCATTAATGCAGAGGGTGAAGAGGGCAGGATTTTTAAGGCTTTCAAGTTTTTAATCCAAACTGGGTCAACAGAAACTACTAGAAATGACTGAAATTACAAATAATGGATTTTCCCCTCAGCCCTTCAATCAGATCCACTTGCCTTACTTGGTACTTATGGTTCATGAAAGGAAAGTAAGTGCCTGTTGGTTGGAGATGTGGCAAGTTCTGAACCTGTGTCCTGACCAAGCACCCTTATTAGTTAAGCCACTTGAATGTTATTTGCTCTAACCTAGATGAACTGTATCCTTTTAAACTTCACCCATGGATACTGGGAAGGAGGCAAAAAGAAAATTCTTTATCCCTGAACTAAAAAAGCAACATTGGAAAAGTGGAATACTGAGATAAAAATGTTTGTTTTTCAAATAAACCCAAATAAAATACAGTAACTGTGGAAGTTAAAGTAAATTGGCATTTATTTAATTTCGGTTCACGGCAGTGAAACACCATCTCAAAAACTGAAGGTTTAATTTCACACTCTACTTTTACCAAATTCAATACTGAACTCATTCGCTTCTTCTAAACTGAAATCACAGTGGAGTTTGTGGGATTGACTGACCAATTCAATCTGTTGAAGACTGAAGATTAGTATAACAAGTAACATAGGAATAGAACTGTCAGCCCTGTTCTGTAGTCCCATGTTATATAGTTGCCAATAACAGAGACAGAGGAACAGAAGAAGGGAGCATGGATCTTCAGTACTGAACTATTTGAATTTGTATCAGATATGTAGGCATTGTTTCAAATCTGTGTTCATATGCATGCAACAGCACAGTTGGGCTACAAAACACTTTGACAAACCATTGGACTATCCAACAGGATAAGATGTTCACATTTAATAGCACAGTTCACATTTAATAGAAAGATCAAAAGAGCCATTTTTAGAGCACAAAGATTAAAATGATCAGATCTCTAATTTCTACACCTATACAACTAAAAAATAAAATAAAAAACTTAATCCATGTTTACACTTGTCATAGTGCTTTATTATTTAGAGTGTAGGTGCTGTATTTGTTTCAGAAGAAAAAGCTTACAGTAGGTAAAAGTATCTAGATGACACTGGCCAAATGACAAACCTTAATATCTCACAAATATTTTGAGAAAACTGTGGTGCACAATTCTTGTTTGATTGCCATTGTAATCAGATTAATGAAAGGCTACATGTATGTTAACTCAGCTGTAAGAGAGAAAATACCCTCAGCTCTTGGGTACAGTTTTGTCTCACATAATCACAAGGTGACAGGACATCTAGTTTCACAGAAGGAAAACTGTCATCTGTTCATTATATATTTTGTTGAGTTGATGTGAAAGCTCTGATAACACCATTTAAACGACAGGAGAAAAGGATTGTTTTTGTGATCAGTACATATGATGACCAAGTCTTTGTCTCCCTTTATAGCTGCTTGAGTCTCTGTAAGATAAATATTATCCGTACTACCTGAGATAAACTTAGATCTCTTTGTGTCCAGTTTATTTTCAAACTCCCAGCCTCCCTTTAAACAGTAATGAGCAGACACTGAGTTTCACTAATTTAATAAAAAGTATTATTTGTCTTCTTTTAGGATGATATTATTAATTATAATGATTTTAAACATTGCATTTATTACTATAATACATTGTACTGTATACTGTACATTATATTGTAAAAAATGACTAACATTTGTTTGGTTGTTTTGTTTAACTGATAGTGAAATCAACATGCAATCAGAAAATAATCTATTCTAGGCTAAATTTTGAAACTGCAGAACTAAAATGTGAGTTTAAAGGAGTCTGAGATTAGTGATCATCATTTCCTGAAACAGGTAAATGTCTGGAGGGATGAAGAAAACAAACAATCACCATCTGTGATGTTAAGTGTAAAGCAGCTCATCTTGTTCCATAATTAGCAGTTCTAGTACTGTAGCGCTCTCAGGTTCATGTGGAACACCCTTGCCGTTGCCGCCTCAGGTCGGCCCCACACCGCTGGGGACTCGAACCCGGGCCCCTGCCATCACTCAACAGGGACCCAGCCAGCTGAGCTAAAGGGAAAACTCCCGTTAGCCTGACGGCTGCGGTCCCTGCTATTCACAGGGAAGGGCGGTGACGTCACCGCGCTGGTAAACCGGCTCACACAACCTGTAATGTTGGCCATATGCGTTACAGTATTTTTAACAAGGAAACAGTGCCTTACGGTCAGTTTAAAGGAATGTTACTAACAGTACATAACTAAAAATATAAAAATGTCTGCCATAAACATGGCCAGAGTTAAGTGTTTGTAGTCAAGACTTTTCTACCTGGATTAAACTGTCATTAATACTGTATAGTATACCTATCTATTTTTTTACAGGGAAGCCAGCAAATCAAATGGTCATTAAGAGCAGTTTGATTTTCCTCTGTGCTGTTAGGATTAGCAGTTACAGAAAGTTGCATTTGTAGGAATAATGATAAAATTAGTTTTTTCATTTCAACTCATAAATTAGAATCATATGTTGGGGATTTACACATATCTGAACAAATATCTGATACGAATTTGTTTTTTGCTTTAGAATTCATATGGTGTTCACAGCTATGATTTTTCTCTGTCAATGTTACTGTCATTATTGTTAGTAATTAATTTTCACCTTACTTGATGAAAGTCAGTTTTTCTATCTTGTCTCCAGTGTAGAGAGAAATGTTGAAAGACAGGAGGACAATGTTTGTAAGGAGTTATTAGTTACGATTGTCCATTAAAATGAACTTGTATTTGTGAAGTCCATTAGGAGTGTTAACAGTGTTAGCTATAACCTAATGGTGGGATCTGAGTAGTCTTAATTTGATTTGAGTTCACCTGCTAACATCTAAATCTACAGTATGTGATCAAGGACCCCACACCATTTTGAGGCACTCTCAAACCTAATAGCATCCAATTTCTGACCATGAGCATTTCAGTCGACAATGCAATTAACCAAATACCAGCTTACTAGTTAGTCCAACTGTATCTTTAACCCTTTTTTATTTACTACAATGATTTATATATAGTACCAGTGGTTTCTAACCACAGGCAATATATACAGTGCAACACAACTCTTCAGTTCAAGACCTGAACAGAATCAAGAGGGCACACGCTTGCTTTTAAATCTCTTTGGCAGGGGAATGGTCTACAATACTCTAATCAATTTAAATGAGTGATCAATGGAGCTGAAAGTTCTGTTAAATCAAATACTCGAAAACCCCACAACCATTCAGATCCACTAATATTTTACCTTTTTCTGCATAATGTTGCACAAATATTGAACTGCTACCCGAGTTCAAAACTACAGGAAAATAGGCTGATTTGACGAAGATACAGTATATGTGGATCAGTGGCAGGAAAAGAACTTGTATAACTTTCAGCAATTATGTGTTGAAAGCAAAGACAAGAATGCATAGATTTTCATGTTTATGACAACAATAGTAAGCGTGTAACATCTCTGCAAAGAAGTTTAAGGTTAGGTGTTGAACACTAACTATAGTGCTGTTTTCCACATACAGTACTTGTAAAGTACATGACTAGGATTCAACAAAAATGCTTCAGTCAGCTCCTTGACTGATCTTTAATTCTGAGCTATTCTCTTGGAAGATACTATCTCAAATTGTTCTGCCTTAATCTCCTCTTCCTCAAAAAGAACACACAGAAGTGGAACAGAATCAGGTTTCTGGTAATTTATGGATTTGAAATTGATAAGGTAAGAAACAAAGAGCAATATAAACCCTACCTACCATGATGGGTGTTTCTAAAACTTTTCCAAATTTAAAAATCCATCAGTCTACTGATATTTAGAAAAGTGCAATCAATTGCCCATTACACAATAATGCCAAGATACTGTGTTACCATTAAATTATCTAGCAATATCTTGGGATTTTCATTTGCATCGAAAGAATCCAAAGACAGGCATCTCACCACTAGTTAAAAAATTCTCTTTTTTCATTAAAAAACCTTCTCACTCAACATCTTTTTACTGGATCTCAGGTGTGTGCACCCCTGTGATGACAGCTATGAGTAATGAAAGTATAAAAACTGCAGAAATCAGCAGAATGGAACAGATGCCTCCAGGGTTATCATGCCTAATAACGTATGGCACTGGACTGGAACACAAAGTATGTAGGCAGGCAAATTCAGGGAGTACATACTGCACATAAATAGAAAACAGAGACCTTGAATGTATTGTGTATTGCACTGCTTTCCAGTGCATTTGGAATGTGGGGGAAGGTGTCTGTTTACCATTTTTCTTCAACAAGAATGGAAAACAGTCTGTATACACCTCCAGTTTCCCTGTATCTTTAGTGTTCATACTGCAAGCCTCCCAAGTTTCCCAAGTTCTTGCATAGAAAAAAAAAAGAACGTTTCTAGTGTTTTTGGTCTATGGTTTCCCAGCACGGTAGTTGATCTGGTTAATATTGTAAGCAGAGGAAATGTATGTTTCATTTCCCAGCAGGAAAAGATGACCCACCCACTTCAATTGCACAAAAAAGACCAACCTCCCAACCCACCCACATGTGGAAGAAACCACCTGCAATAGTGGACAGGTTTGAAAAGACTGCAGGTGGCAAAATTCTCTGCGGATTAAGGAAGTTCAACAAAGAAGGAGAGTTAAGTCAGGACTCCATGTTCTGTTCAAAGTCCTCATTTTCAAAATTGCAAGCATTAGTCATACAGCGATACACCACAAGAGACAGTTAAGTGACCTGGGTCAAAGGCACATAAAGCAGAACTTTCAAAGACAATTATCCATCAGATACGACAGGGTATTCTACATTTCTGGTGTTCAAGTAATAATCATCTGTATCAACGATGATAACTCAAGACAAATCTGAGTAATCATCTAACAATACACACTTTAACTAAGAGTACAGTGCATTTTACATAACTGGATTATATTCATCCACCCTGTTTCTAACTGCTTTATCCCATTCAGGGTCGTGGAGAAGCCGAGGCCTATCCTGGCAAGCAATGGGCACAAGGCAGGATGCAACCAGTCCATCACAGGGCAGACAGAGACACAAACAGTTTTACACTCAAACCAGGGCCATTTTTCCCAGAAGCCAACTAAGCTGTCACTATGCCTTTGAACTGTGGGAAGAAACTGGAGCACATGAACATGGGGAAAACACACAGATACAGTCAAAATACAGGAATTCAACCCAGAACCCCAATACTGTGAGGCAGCAGTGCTAAACACTGTACCACCATGACATCCAGTAGGATTTTGTGTTTAAGCTTTATTTTTGTTAAAAAATGGCAGTGACATCCAGCTATAAAAAAGGAAATCAACCAGCTTGTGGCAGCAGAAAGCAATAATTATTTTTTTTAATGTATTATTAGTGGGTTTTACTTCAGTTGATTAAATCCCCTTAGAAAGCAATAAGTGTCAAAAAGTGTTTTGAATATAGGCTCTTGTGTTATTTTATTTTTAATGTATAGATGGTGAACTTTTTTCGACAACACAGAAATATCTTCCAAGCATATTGATGCTACAGAAAATTGTTTGAAATATAAAATTTCATGATGCTAGCTTTAAGTAGTAAAAAAAATATCAAAACTGGAATAAAAGATCAAAACTTAATTATATTAGTAATCTGCCACACACAACCGTTTACAAACATGTAAGATGTCCCTCCTGAGAATGCACAATAATATACCTAACATTAAATGTTCCTCAAAATCAAAAACTAAATATTATATTCTAAAAAATATCACCTTCCAAGATCCATAATTACTGTAAGCTTAGAATGTTAAGTTTGAGTTATAATTATTGTGATTTAGTCCCTGGTATTCTGTTTGGTTGAATGTCAAAGATAATTCAACCAAGAATCAATCAAAGGATTTGATTTTTTTATTGTGCATATGTTTCTATGCCTAATAATAATAATCCCATTCTTAGACTTTCAACTCTAAGTTTTTTTCAGGCTCAGCTCTGTTTTCTATTTTGAAATACGAGTCTTTATCCTTGACCCAGTTATTTAACTAAGTTTTCTTTTGTATCCTTGTTTTTATTGGTAAATGTACTGTACGTTGGTAAATATGTTCGTTATCAAACAGAATCTAGTAATTGCAAATAACAGTCTTTAGTACATGATTCAAAAGATCTGTAAAATCCAAAAGACAAACTACTGTAGAATGACAGTAGGAAACTGTGATGATAAATTATTTAAACCTGCATTTCATGTCATTTAAAATACAATACAAATGAGACTGGTGGACTTAATATAGAGATTTATCTTATTTTGCCTTAAAACAGTTTCTGCATGTTTAGCTGTGCTTTTACTTTTCTCTTCTATGGATTCCTGTGGGTGGTTCAGTGCTTTAACACAATCTGCAAGAGTTCCAAGAGTTTTCTATGCGGTTTCAGTTCACTTTTTGACTTGGGTAACCATATCAACCTGCACTTAACTCACATTAAGTTATGTACTTCATTTGTAATTATGTGCTGAAGTTACTTCAGGAGTGAAGGATGCAGCTTTTTGAATACATACAAAATTGTTCACTTGAGGGTAAAGTGTTTCATGGAGCTTGTCTGCCTTAGTGACAATTTAAATATATACAGATAATTGTAATCATTTACTCTTCGTTCTACTGTATTTGATTACAAAAACTAGGAAACGGTTTGGTTTTTCATGTTAAGTCCTTGCTGCCACTTGCTGGTAAAACGTGGCAACTGTGAATTTCAAAATTGGGAAACCTTAGAATAATTGAATCCGATTTTACAGCCGTTTCTTAAAACTGTCCTGTTTCGGAATCTTCGGAAACTCTCTCCTCCAGAATTACGGCGCTTTTGAGAAGGAAACAAAACCGCACAAATGGGCCTAATTTTTTTTTTTGCAAATACTGTACATTTGGGGTTATAAAAATACCTGAAGATACTAACGTTAAGGTATAACAAGCGATTAGTCTATGGACCGAATATATAAATATGAAAAAATGAACGCTACAGTTAAAAGATTCGGCCATTTTATTGCTGTCTTTTGTATTGAGAAACAAAAAATAACAATTCATTGGTAAAATTAAACTAATGTTGTACTGGAAGACAATTACCAGGAAATGTCTTCGGTTTAATTGTGATTTTAGCAGGCTTATCCAGCAAGAGCCTATGGTTGCAGTTACCAGATAAACTGGCCAATTGAAATTCTTTATTGGTCATTGGCATTTAATTAACTTGGGTATTAGCAAACCAACATTTATTCTAATTCGTTTCAAATTGATTGTCACTGTTAAACCACCAGGGAATTCAAATGTAAAGTTCTCCGTTTTATTTCACACATTACGAGAACACTAATTTATTGCAAAACTGTTAGTGCTGGCCAGGAGCACTGCAGCTAACATACAATATTTGCGGAACATTGCTGGAGTATGTGGGATTAATTAAAGGGTCCTAACCCAAACACTCACTATACACTATATCGCCACACACACACATTTCATTCATTCGAGTAATTGTATTACCATGAAACGATCGTTTTCAATATCACCTCATAGGATATTTTAATTCACATTACCAATCACAAACTTTTATTTAATCGACCTTTCGATTCGACAGTTTCAATAATGCAATAATTATTTTGCTTCTACCCACTTCTTATAGGTGTTTTTCACTGTGTTAGTATGAGGCACACACCGTATTTCTCGAAGAGTACTTTATAAAACACCAGATCAAAATAGAACAGATGAACAATTTTCCGACCGCACAATTAAACATTTAATGGTGCAAGAAAAAAAAACTGTTCATATGCAACAATATATGCACTAGTTTACGACAAGCAGGTAGAGCTAACCTGAGAGAAACAGGGAATTGTCTAAAGTTTGATGTCAATGGGCAGTGTGTGCTGCATTACGGTTAGTCCCTAATGTTTCGACCTCTATCGTAGATCTGCAACTCATTAATCACGCTCTTACATCAATCCGGCAATCTCCACTCTGAAATGAAAAGAGAAATTTAGAAAAAAACACCACTCTACCTGGCTGTGTATTTATGCGCGGTCCCATCATCATAAACAAACGTCTGGTTGGTATAACACTCGCTACACATCTTGGATTGAGCCCCAGCTGATCTGTTGTGGAGAGCTGCCTTTTCGAAATCGCCGTCTTCCCTTGAAAATTTCATCTGAGGCAAAACAGGAAGCTATTCTTCCGGAACACAGTCTCAGGGATGCCCGAGCAAGGCATCAAGTCCAATATCTCGTCTTTTGAGCATCTCTTATCAATTTATTCTTTAATACATTCCGTAAGAGAATTAAGACACGCATGTTTCCATCACATTACCGGGTGTATGAGAATACATATCGCACAAAAATAAACATAACTTATTGAAATGTCAAATCATTGCTTTCGTGGGTGATTCTTGAAAGTTCAATTTTGTTTTAAATACATTTTAATAAAAAGCACAAAACGCCAATTGGCCTGTACGTTTCATATCATTTTCTTTGATCACTACAAATGCATCTTTTAAAAAAAAACATAGAAAACTACAAAGAGCTTTCCGGACCGTATATGTCTTTTTTAATAGCTAAAATATACCTGGACTTAACTAAACTGATGTTCTTGAACAGAATCCAGATTTTTTCTAGCAAGGCTGCTTTTTTATACTAAAAGGCGCCGCCTATGGGAGGGTTTTAATAATGCATGCATTGGTTTTCCAGTCTTTTCAAAATTGTCGATCACAAAATGTATTTAATCTGGTTCAGAGGGAACGAGAGCTTAATCCCACTATTTCCATGCTGTTTTTTTTTTATCGTCAATCATTTTTACACCAATATGACACTTGTTTCTAGTGCTGTGGTTAGAAAAAGGGGAAAAATCCAGTATTTTGCCCTTGGTCGCACTGATGCAGACGTACAGTACTGCGCTTGTATATTTTAGTAAGGAAACCATTATTTCTTCCACTACAAACAACTGTAGAATTTCAGTTTTGCAGTTTTGAGAAAACTCCACAAGTTCTATATCATTTTTATTAATGATGATAAGGAAAAAGACTTATATAGTGGCTTTTTATAAACCCTCGGAATTTGTTGTAGTTCAAAGAACCCTTTGCAGTACATCTAGTGGCATTAAATGTAACTGCAATTGTTTAAAAATGTACTACGTCTCGGTACATTTTCCATTATCACTTTGGGCACCAAAAAACAGCAGCATAGAGCATATTCGTTTGTGAAAGGATTACATATATGTAACCCACAAATGAAATGAATGATACATGTACATACTTGAAAGCTATACAGTACATATATGCTACTGTATGTGTGTGTACTGAATAAAAAAAAATCAATGAACATTATAACTCGTGTAGTGAACGTCCGAAGTCTTTTCAGGATGGTTGCGCTATTAATGCCAAGGTCATATCGGCACCAACGTGTTTTAAAGTATGTTTGTGGAAGTCCAGTTAGGTTTGGACACTTAAATGTTCCCTTCAATTCTTCACCTGCACTGCCACTGTACTGTCCAGTACTGTACTGTATATGCAGTAGTCATTAACGTGGCGCAGAGTGTCTGAGAGCTGGTGTAGTGTACTGTACGTATAAATGCTACTGTACACTTCGGGATGAAAAGCGCTATATAACATGCAATAAGTCATTATTACTTATGTTGTTATCTAGTCACAAGCAATAAGGCATTTCTTAATATAAACTGCTTGCAATGGTTCTCTCCCTGCAAGCAGCGAATAACATTTTTCAATTAATATCTCCCCTCGAGCATGACGCACGCATCGAAGCATCCAAGAGAATTTTGTTTAGGATTACTCATAACGTCAGATTAATGCACTGTCATGTGTGGTCCAGGCGGGAAGATTTATTATACACTATAGCTTGTACTAGTATGCCTACTGTTTGGTATGGCATAAAGAATTTAATGCTGCACGAAATGCAAAACTGATTTCATTTATGTTATCTGCTGCAAGGGTGCAAGCCTCTGGCTAATGTCATCTTTGTCAACAAGAAAGTTTTGTGGAGAATAAATCTGGCTCAATAAAGGTTTAATTAATTATATGAAAATCAAAGCTTTGGCTTGATTTCAAGTAGCTAATGACTTTGAGAAATCACTAACCTCAATACCTTGAAGACACTGGATTGTTTTTCCAAGTTCAAAACAAAGCACTGAAGCGCTGTGATAAAACATCCATCCATTTTCAGCATTTTTGTCCTGATGAGGATCGCGATACCACCTCATCAGGACACTATTTCACTATTTTGAGAAGCATTTAATATACGCAATCAAGATAAAGTATAGTTTCGCTTAGCAACTTTATCAAACGCTACTCTAATACAATAACCTTAACGCCTTTCTAAAGACAAAATATATATCAACAATTGAACATTTATGAAACAAAATAAAATTTATGTTGGATACCAAGCTATAATATGCAAATACATAAAATATAGGAAAAATGCTCTGATAATTCAAGCCTAAGTAGGCTGATTTAAACTTCCAAATTGGAGATTAAGTAAACAGTTCTGGATGAATAAAAATAATAACACTGGATCTTGATATTCTTGTGACCATAGAATTTTCTGCACTATATGCACTGATATTTTAAAATCATTGATGTTTTAAAGTCATTGATGCTTTTTGAACTATCCACAGTGAAGGTTAGGTCCTTTTTTGGGCAATCTGTCTTGACCCGTTCAAATTCCAATCATTGCAGATGCACTTAATTAGGAAAAACAAATTTAATCTGAACATGATCAAATTTCCAAGTCCAATGCCATCTCTATTTCTATATCCTTGCCCTCTCTGTAGGTGGCACAGTGGTGCAGTTGTAGGACTGCTGCCTGTTCTACTGCATACAGTATGTTCCTGCCTCTAAATTGCCTGTGTGTGTATAGTTGCCATATAATGGACATAGTTCAGGTGGGTAGCTGCGTCAGCATGCGTAGGCTGCAAAGGAACAAGTAATAGGTTTATTCCATGCTGAAAAAAAGAAGAAAGAGAACACAATATTTCGGCCGTGGAGCCTTCTTCAGGTGTGTCATATAATGGACATTCCATCCAGTGTAGAGTCCTGCCTTGAACCTTATGTCTCTGGGATAGATGCTGACTGTTGTGGCCCCTACCTGACCTGAGCAGCTTTTTGATAATGGATGTACTCTCTGCTCTAATAACCATTTTGTGTGATTACAAAAAATTAAACAGAAGGTTGTTTATTCACTCCCCCCCCTTTGGAAGACATGAAAGAATAGTTTTTCTTCATAATAGAAGCCAGAGCAGACAGCGAGTTTGGTCATCTAAAAACTCACATGACAGACAGTTTAAACATTTTAGTGTTTAAATAATTAACAGTGGCAATCACACCTCCAGACCTGAAATTATATAGATCAGGCCACCTTAGTAATTCTCCCTTACATCCAAATGGAAAACATCTAAAAAGCATGAGCCTGACATAAGAGGAAGTCGCTCACTTTCTCATGGGGAGAAATTGCAGGTATAACACAGCCAATCCAGATAAATGCCTTTAATGACAGGGAGTGAGATAATGGTATCCAATTTTGCTGTTGCAAGGTCAAATTTAGCCAGATCACTGGAAGATAGGAATCAGACCAACAGTGTTTTCTCATTGAGTTTACCATCCCCACATGTATCCTTCCATTAGAGATATGGATTTAATAGTGCATAGTGAGGTGCTGCAATGATTCATTTGTTCTGTCCATGATCACAGTTATACTGTAGTCCATTACAATGTTGAGATGCAGAGAATATCAAGTGTTTTTCACAAATTACAACATCATTGTGCCACAGAATTGTTTTTTTTTTCAGTTTTTAAAGATTCACTGACATCACAGCTATTCAGAATATGTAAATGAGGAATATTTTTTTAAAGCATTAACCCTTAAATTTCTAGACTGTCAGTAAGAATACTGACTGCCTTTTACAGAGTCTTCCAAAGTACAGTAATGCTTTTGTAACAAAAATGGCAACTTTCCCTATTACACTATAGTAATGAGGTGGCCTTTTTTATTTCCCCAGAGTCTCTTCAAAATATAGAAACAGAAACCTCAGCATCAGCTACCCCAGGTGGGGAAAATATGCTCTCATTTTGTACATACCCAGGAGAAGCTTTTTCCATGAGTTGCACGAGTTCTTCGTTTCTATGACTTCAGACAGAGGATGTCCCAAAGACATGCGAAGGTGTCTACGCAGACAGAACTGAAAACAATCTTCCTGAGTAAGACACTTCTCAAAAAGCCTGCAGTGGACTATTCTCTAACCGAGCAGAATCAGAGTCTTTAAAAGCAATAATATAGTGCCCCCTGAATGGAGTGTTGGTATTTTTCCTGTGGGAATAGATTTTTCCTGTCAGCTTTGTTTTTTCCCCAAATATGCATGGCTCTCATTTCCCACCAAAGGAAGTTTCTTACTCAACTCTGAAGCATATTGTAATCTGGGAAAAACTTGCTATTACATATATATATATAGTATAGTGTATGTTTATACTGCAGTTGTTTGAATGCATATATCTAATTCTTTTCATACATATATTCATTGAAAGGAATAAAATATATCTTTATAGTAAAAAATATTGATAGAAACACCTTAAACCAGAGTAACCATACCCACATTTGTAACACCTTAATAGATAAAATAAGCAGAAAATAAATAAAGAAGGAAATGGAAATGTTTTTAGGATCCAAAGATTTTTTTGGCAACTATGGATGTGGTAGAGGAAAGGAAATAAAGCATTTCCTTCTGGACTTATGGAAGTCACTTGTCACATAAACAATTTAACTATCAAATTACTATTACAAAGCAAACAATAAAATGACTTATAAAGTCCCTTTCCCATCTTAAACATAACAGAGCACTTTAAATTAAAGACTTAAAATGTAATTTAAAATTTAAACTTGAGGAAGCACTGCCTAAAAGGGACTTTTGCTTGTACAGTACAGTATGTTGGATTTTGAACTGTAGGATGTTCCAAGCCTTAGAGACAAAGTAGTAAATGATTCTAGAGCCAAATATTTCAAAAAACGGATCTTAGGAGCTGCAGCATTCTGTGACAGCAAAAGCAAGAGATGCTAAAAAGTACACAAATTGAGGTGCTTAGCTTTTTCCCCCTCCTTATTTGAATTTCCTTATTTCTGCAATTATAATAGGCAATTACAAACTTCTGTTCTTTATTAGCCAAAGATTTCCCGAGACTTTCACTCTTGTCCTTGTAAGAAAATAGCTCAGTCTTGATTTAATTTGATCTTTAAGGACCAACACAAAGTCAATGTATCACTCCAATTAAACCAATAAAACCAGGCATTGTTTATTATAGCAGTGCTGAAGCTGCTGCTGCATTTGTGTAACTTAATAATGCCCTTGCGTATGACTAAACAAGCACAGAGACTGTATGTTTTCTACAAGCAAACACATTAGACGCTCAGAAGGCTTTTACAGTACTTTAGGTGCACTTATGGAAGTAAAAGCCACTTATATTAATCTTCAAAGTATTTTTGACATTCTAATACTGAAAAAGGGTCACTTCACGAGCTGTGAAGCATTCAACTTAGCAAACTAACAAGTTTGCCCAGTAATACTGCAGTCAATCATCAAGAAGGTTTTTAGAAATGCACATGGAGCCTATCTGCAGCCTCTTGCACCAGTTTTAATATGATTCACACTTCGCCAATGGGTCCTGGGTAACCTTTTCAATTTTGAAAAGCAAAATAGAGTGTGAATGAACACATGCAGGTGTTAATTGGCTCAGAAAGAGTCCTTCCCAACCATGTGATTAAAGTTATAAAGCATCACGCTGCTCCATCTTCACCACACCAGCTCCACCTCCAGGGTGTTTAAACTTCATGCTCCCAAAATGCCTGAAAGAGACAAACAAACACACATTGCTTATACCCAAGGTGCCAGATCGAGGAAGCAAAGTGAATGTGTCTGTAACTCCCGTGTAGTGCATAGTTTAGGACCCTACGCAGATGGTAAAATCCGGAAGAGACTGGAGAATGGCAACAGGGAAATACGACAGGATCAGGACAGGATGACTGACAGGGGGGTGTGTCGGCAGCGTTCTGGTGCTCGGGGAGCGTGGCGCAGGTGAACAGGTCCAATAACAATCCAGAAGGGGAAACCTGGAAGCAGTCCAAAATCCATTACCGCTAGGTCCATCCGAGACACAGGAACAAGGAGGTAGAAACACAGAAGGGTAAAACCATAACGGAGCCAGGTGCTCCTAGCCCCGTACCCAGATGGTCAGGACACCGGGGAATAAGACCTGTCTTCGGGCTACCTGCGACACCACTGGGAATAGGCAAGCCTTGTGGCGTCCATCTTCCAATGCTGAGCGCAGAGCTTCGGTGGCACGGGGTTTAAATAATACACACGGACCAGGGGCAGGTGAATGTAATAATGACACTCAAATACAAAAAAGGGTCGGAGTGCCCTCTAGAGGAGGGATGACAACCATGACAGCGTCAAAAGATAGCGGCCCAACTGCACTCTACAGAACGAGACAATCTCCCAAGGCAATACCTGCTCGACCATTTGGAGAGAGCACAGAACCCATTTCGGTCTGATCGGTCATCGTCTAAACAAAGAATGCAAGATGGGGATGGCTAATGTGCTGCTCATATTATTGAATCGTGTAAAACACCAAACAGATCTAGGGATCAAGGGGAGCACACTTCCAAGTGCACCAGAAGTTGCTACATTGGCTTTGCTTAATCACCATTAATGCCTATATAGTTGAGACGTGTGGAATGACATGGAATACAACTGCATGAAGCTGTTCTATGCCCAGTGTTGTTCGTGATGGGAAAAGATTTCTAAAGATCTATTTGCATATTTTGTAGTGTACATCATTCACAAAACAGATGACTAAATAGGTAAAGCCATTTTGTGTCCACCATGCTTATGCATAATATATTGTAGGTAAAATGCAAGGGTATTATAATTTATTGATATTAAATAATTATCAATACTGCTAACAAGTATTCCCAATTCTGCAAGTATTTTATAGAAGCACCGATTCTGGAGAGATGCCCAGAAATGATAGCTGGTGCATGCTGTTCATGGAGACTCACTCTCCTTTTGATCTGAGCTGAACTGATCTGTATTTCAGTACTCCTTGTTCAAATGAGTTCAAATGTAAATCTCAATACACGAAATGAAGCTGGTTGTCTTTTCAAATCTCTAATCAGTTTATACAATTTACCCATCAAATATAATTAATGGGCATGCGTTCTTTCAACACTAATAACACGGTTATATTTAATTGCAGTGTACTTCTAATGGCTATTATAAAATTGATACACAATGTGAACTCCTGACCAGGGAACTTGTTCTTGACTACATCTTCTATTGATCAAGCATTTATCAAAGGCTAAGCCTATTTTCTTGTTCAAATCCTGATTCTTATTGTACTTCAGCCTTGAACTACTAGTGGCGTTTTGAGGCCTCGTCGATAACGCACACCTACAAAATGACGAAGATAGGAAAATCTGAAGCAGCGAGCAAGAAAGAGAAAAACCTTGAGAGTCAATGGTTGCTCCTCACTAAGACTGCAGACGACACTGCCAGTGTGGTGAAAGGAATGTGTTGGCGAATGTGACCTTTATGACTCAGCCATGGTTGTTCATGGCTAATTCCCCGTGGAGAATCAACTAAAATGAAATGAACAAACATCTAAAAATAATTTTTATTCTTCCGCATAGATCAATGGCAATGTGCTACGTGCAGCGAACATATGGAGCAGTAGAATACTGAAACGACTAAAAGCGGAGGGAAGGAATGAAAAAACGGCAAAGGTTATAGGCACAGCAGTGTCAGCGTGATAAAATATAATTCATTCAGGATACTCGGTATATCTTGTAACACAATATTTAGAAATAAACATGAATAGATTAGCAAGGTCGACATTTTCAATAGCATATATTCAAGAATTACTATAAATGTAATTTATATGATGTATTTTGTTTGAACAGCTACAGTATATTGTGTAAACTGCTCAGTATAGCAGTGCAACCTACTGTATTACGGCTCTAGTAGACACTACTGGGACCAAGAGAACACTCTTCCCCAGGAGAGCAATTGGGCAGTAAATTCTGCAGTGACCACTAGAGGGCACAGATTCCATTCCTATGGTATAGGATTGCCGGGACACCCCCTTATATAGAACCATCTGGTGTACTCAGGTGTCATTGTCAGTGGAAAATTATTCCCAGTGGTGTCATAAAACATTAGTTCACTGTGCACATTTGCGTGATAGTTTTCTGAATAGGCCAAATATTTTTTAAGCACCCTAGATTAACTCATCGTACAACATGTACTTCTAGACTATGAACTGGAAAGAATCTTGGCAGAGGGACTAAACTCTATTACTACACTCTCTGCTTTTACAAGCTCTGCAGTGCTGAATACCATACCTCCATGTGTTTGTCTCATAATCATAGATTTCCACTGTGTTCAAATCTGTGATGCCATCATTACCCCCAACGGCCAGGAGAAAACCATTCAAAGCCACCAGGGCCGCCTGCAACAGGAAACAAGTCATTATTATTGTACAGTAGCTGTTGTACACGTACTGTATATGGCCAAGAAAAGCCTGATGTGAAAAGAACCTAATATTGCTTTGTACATAACTGCATGCAGAACCTCGAAAACCTTCATGCTTCCAAAACACTTCAATGAATCCCATAATTTTTCAAGGAAATGAGGTCCAGGAAACATGAATAAAAAGAATTTGCCCTTTGGCTACTTGTCACAATCCTATACTAACATGCAATTTCTCATCTCAGCTTAAATAGGAGCTCTATTCCAGTAGTTGCTTCTGATAATAGCCCTCAATATGAACCTAAAAAAACAATCCAAAATGTTTATAATGAAACATTTCATTTCAAATGATAAAAAGTTTAAAGTTGAACTGCAGGCAGATACAGTACATCCACTATAAACACAATCAGGATTGATTCATTCACCAAAGCAAACTAAGCAATGTTGCTATGTTTAGGGTAAATTGGTTTACTTTTTTTCCAATTTGACCATTTTGAAAATTTCTTAGACTCCTTGTGGAACACTGGGAATCTGGATGAGAGCCGTTGTATAAAGATATACAGTACAGGAGTACTTTATTGAGTACATGCCGGTGCAACCTTAACTTAAGTGATTGTTTATATTTTTCATGCTGTTTGCTTTATGTCCCTCCCAATTTAGTTTAAGTTTCAGCTCATGGTAACAACTCCTTTATTGCACAAGGTTTGGAAAGAAGCTTTGACTTGTTCCCTCATGGGAGCTACCCCTGACAACGTTTGCACTGGAGAACTGGTGCATCTCACCTAATAATAATAATAATAATAATAATAATAATAATAATAATAATAATAATAACAACAACTACAACAATAATGATGATGATGATGTTGATGTTTGTCCGTCGTGTCTGACGATGACAGTTGTACTTTGTGACGCTCATCTGTTTGGAAGATGAGCTGCACGAAGAAACCTGTGCAGGACTGTTGCACCAGCACAGTCGCACTCTCGACCTCAGAAGCCTGGGTCCAGTGGTGCGAGTAGTTGTCCCGACTGGAGACTTCCTTGGTTGCAGTGGATGGCCATGACGCCTTTCTGTACTTTGCCATTCCTTTCACTTTCTACGGAGCATTGTGACACTATAGTGTCCCCGTCACTATAATAGGGCATTAGGACCGCACACAGATAGCAGGGCGAGTGCCCTGTACTGGTGCCATTAACATCTCATCCAACAGCAACCTTAGCTTATCCAGGAGCTCTCCCATGCTGTTACTAGCCAGGCTCACATCTGCTGGACTTCAGTGGCCTGCCAATGGTGAGTTGCAGGGGGATTTAGCTTATGCCACTACAAGCCTTCTTTGGAATCCATGAGAAAAATGCATGGGTTGCTGAATTTGGAAAACCAAGATAGCACAGACTGTCTGACCACATTCCCTTGGCTCTGTCAGTTGTGAACCACTGCTTGGGCAGTTCCCTGTCACGGTGTGTGAGTGCTGCTACCCGGATGCTCCCTGTATTCAAGTG